GGTGGTGTGCCTCGTGATTTTTTCAATTAAAGCAATGTACCTTGGCTCAAAAAAGGTTGAAAAACACTGTTCTAGTCTGTTGTGGTAAGTTTTGGTCTGTTGCTTTTGCGGGATACAGGGATGTCTGTATCCTGCAGATATCCCTGGACCTGTTGCCCCAGCAATGGAAATCTTGAATGAGCAGAAGACAATAGAGGAATGGACTCTTGGACAACACTTTAAAATATGATTATCATAGAGACTTTTCATCTGATCTGAACAGCTTCAGCTACTTTCTAGATGTACAAATGTCGTAGAGATGTAACACTGGGTGATTCTACAACATATTCAATTCAGTTCAAAAATAGATTGCAAAAGCTGCCACACTTTTCAGATTTTCACTGGTGAAATATTTTGAAAGCCATGGATCCTTTTCCTTTGCTTTCGCAATTATACCCTACTTTGTGTTGGTCTAACACATGAAATAACGTACGTTGAAGTTTGGGATTGCTGCAAGACAAAATGTGAAAAAGGGTCAAGAGGTATGAAGTCTTTTGTATCAATCTGCGACAGCGAAGCAGTGTGTAAAACTATACATTTAAGTGATTCTCCTTGAGGAAGGATTACCTGCAGTTATCTTTGCTTCCAGAGTGTCTCTTTGTTCTCTCGGTTGTGGGGCATTGACCCAGTTTCCCCCATGTGCTCATTAAAATTGTATTAAAGTTGGCCGTGTCTGAGACTGGCGGAGACAGGCCAGAGTCTCAGGAGGCCTGACCCGCCGTCATCTGGGACATAACGTCACCGCATGCACCGCTTTTCTGCTTCTAGGCACATTTTAGCTGTTTATTCAGGCTCACCTTACCAAGCGCAGCAACAATCTGTTTAAATTCCATTCACGCTAACAACTAGCAGCTAGGGGTTGTGTTTGTTCCCACTTTCCTTACACTTTTAGGTATTTGTTTGATTTTATGGCAAGGTTAGTTCTTTTTTTTCTCTGTGTAAAAAAATGGCTACTTTATGTGTTTACATATAAAAAAAGAAGAAAAACCGCAAATTCTTCCGTGCTGGTTGCCATTAACCTCCAAAGGCAAAAATTTAAAAAAAGAAAAAAAAACTGAAAATGAAACCAGCACCTGTTTGTCAGCACCTGCTCTTTTCTGCATCCTGTGCACATTGTCGATCTCATAAACCTTGATCTCGTACGCCTCCGGTATTTCCCGCTCTGTCCAGTGGGAGCCCAGACCACTAGCCGACCGTTTCAGGGGCAGGGCGGAGTCGTGGGACGGACGGCGCTGGTAGGAACCTGAGAGGGAGCAGAAGCGCGGTGAAGAGCTGCTTTCCCACCACGTTCTCCTCCTTTTCACACACAGTTGTGTTACAGCTACCACTGAGTCGCTTCGTTTTACGGTTGTTGACATCTTATGTGACAGACCAACACAGAGCAGGGTGTAATTATGAAGTGGAAGGAAAAGTATTCATGGCTTTAACATTTCTTTTGCAAATAAAAATTTGGAAAATGTGGAATTTTTGTATTTATCCTCATTTTCAATTAAACGTGTAAAATTCAGTGCAGCCAGTTGTCTTCAAAGAGTCTAACAATAAGTAAATCAAGTCAATCTGTGTATAATTTAATCTCAGTATAAATCCAGCTCTTTTGTGAAGCCTCACCAATTCTTAAAGCTGCAGTATGTAACTATTATACATTTTTTTTTTACATATTTGCTAAAACTATCACCATGTTGTGACAGTGTAATATGAGACAGATAATCTGAACTAAAAAAATCGAGCTCCTCTGCATTCTCCCACTGCTAACTAGAAACAACAAATCATAGTCAGGAGGCAGGTCTTATTGCTTCATGTGGCGTTGGTCATCCCTCACTCTTTCTTCCCCTTTGCTCTCTGCTACACTGCAGCTAACACAGCCTCTCATGAATGCATGCTAAGGCTAGTTAGCATGGTCATCGATAAAAGTGGAAAAGCGGTTTTCCTGGAACGGTGAGTAGTTTCTCCACCATCGACACATTTATCAGCGAACAGGAGGTTGATTGACAGCGCTCAGACCCGCCCCCTGACTCTGTTTGGCCATTTTTGGTTGGGAGCAGTTCATTTCTTCAACAAATATTTTAACATTTGCGTTCTGAACCCAAGTGAAACCAGACACAACTTCCTTGTTTGTGCACACAATCTTGGGCTATAAACAAGGGCACAGCTATGTACTTTCTGAGGCGTATGCAGGCAAATAACAGGAGCCCGCCCCTCATCAGATAACACGGTTCAAATGAAACAGTCACGGTTGTGTTATTGATCACATTATTCACACATGCACAAACAGTCTTTAAATACAGAAAATGCCAAATAGAAATCATTTTTCCACTTTGGCGCCCCTCTTGTGTGGCGCCCATATGAGTCATATATAGTGCATAACCTGATTCTGATCACTCTGACTGGACCATCCTTCTTCTCAGTAGTAGTACTTCTTAAATTGTTAGTTTTGTTAAAAGGACATTTTTCATCTACCTTCTAATATCTTCTACAAGCCATGTAGACGTAACCTCAAGTGTGGAACAACATGATCTGGTCAGAGCAAAGTAAAAATAATAATTAAAAAAATCCTCACATGCAAAATCAAACATTCCCCAACATCTCCACTTAAAACATATTTCTAGCAACAGGCAATAGCTTCAGTACGGAATCAAGGCAGGTTTAAGGGGAACATTGGACTAAATGAGGAGAAATCCTAGAAAAAAAAAACAGAACAGATAGGGTCAGAGGTTCTCATCTCAACAGGACAAAAACTTTGAATATAAAAACAGAGCTACGAGGGAGCAGTAAACAAAATCAAAGCATATCTATGAGGTGGAATGGCCTAGTCAAAGTTCAGACAGAAATGTAATTGAGAATCTCTGCCAAGTCAAGAAAACTGATGCACAGTCACGCTCCATCCAATCTATCATCAGTTTCCTTTTTAAAACCATGTATAAATGTCTTACTGGAATACGTACGACTTTGTGTTGGTCTATCACATGAAATCCTGATAAAATACATCAATTTTGTGGTTGAAATGTGTCAAAGTGTGGACAGGTTCAAGAAATGTGAATTAATTTGAGGGAAAGAGGAATAACAGGCTATAAGTACAGTATGTATTATGTTCATGTTCCTATGTTAAAATGGGATTTTTCTAAAAAAAAAAAAAGAATTTTGCTTTTAGTCCTTTTCTTTTCCTCTAAATCACATTTACCAGCTTACAGTATATTTCCTTCACCAAGTCTGAGTGTAACTGCACACACCCAACTTTCTAATTTACTTTACCAGCCAAACACACTTAAGTTTCTGCGTTTATGCTTCCATTAGTAAAGGCCATCACCGGCTTCATATATTAATGATGTCATGTCATACACAATTAGACATTGAGGCCTTTAAGAAACTAGGCCTTTACAGCTGTGTGTCATGTCTAATTAATGTCACATAAATATGTTATGCAGCCAGATTACAAACCAGAGCTGTTCTGGCTGGAACTGCCATTCATGTAGAAATATTTTGTGGTGGCTTGGACTTTTTATAAATCACATTTATTCAAAAAAGAGCGTTTAGTTTGTAAACTGAGGGGAGAAAAAAATAAACCTTTTCATTTTTTCCATTCTTTTTCTGTTCATCGGTTCATGTTTTCACAAGCTTCATGATGATGAAGTTAAATTAAAAATTAACTACAGTTACATTTGAAATTAACTACAGTGAAAATATCAGTCCTTGTTACAGATTTTGTCATCTCAAAACAACAAAGGAAATCTATTTCCTTGCTAGAAATAGCAAGGTTGCCACCTTTTCAACACCTACAAAGGTGTTGAAACTACGATTCAGTTTCAGTTCAAACACAAGATGAAAAAGTTGATTCCTGAGAGCAAATGGTCAAATTTCATCTTCGCTTCAACTTTTTAAATACTTTCTTTGCCTTAACAAAAACATCATTGCCATGTTAAATATTTTTAAACACAGCACATAACTCTTAAATGCAGTGAAACAAAACACAACCTATAATTTTGTAACAATCTAAAGCCTAGCATTACCTTTAGCAATGTCAAAATGTTTTTCTGAAATTTTCATAGTATTAATGTTGATTTTATTTATCTACTGGTAAGACATGGGTACTTCAGTATTTTTGTTTTAATTTAGCAGCCTGTTTGGACAGTTAGAAACATCTAAGAAAATATTTGGAGTAATGTTGTCAGGGTCTTAAAGTACAAATAGGTTCCCAAAGAGAACATGAGTCAGGTTTTTAAAAGCCTTTACTGCAGGGGTCTTACCTGTGTTTCCTCTCCTCCGTGATGATCGGCTGCTGAGCAGAGATCCACTCCTGTCGCTGACAGAATCTCTGTTTGACGTGCTGCTTCCTGTGGCTTCACTGTCTCTTACTAAGCTGTCATACCCGCTGCTAACCAGGCTGCTCCGGTTAGAAAAATGCAGGGACGTCTTCCCCATGGCTGGTGGCAAATCTCCGCTCAACACACTAGTGGTGTCGCTCGCGTGCCCGCTTAAATGGTCCGGTGTACGAGGAGCAGTCACCTGGCTGTACGGCGAGGGAAGAGGGGACATCTGATCCGGTCCGCATGAGGAGGGACTGGAGGACCTTTCCCTAAGAAGGTCTGTGATCCGGCCGTTGATGATTCCCTGAATGGCGGATTTTGTAGACGAGCATGTGGAGCTTTGGCTTGGAGTCCGACTGATGGAACGATGAGACTGTGGTGGAGAAGAGGGAAAAAATGAGGACGTTCGCTCAAAGCTAACCATTTTACTGTCTGGTGACAGACTGGCACTGCGGCTGGAATGTTGCAGACTTTTGTGGGACATGTTTAGAGTCTTGATGCTGGGGGAAGACTGCCGACGAACTTTGGGAGTTGCGATCTTGAGTTTTCCAACAGCAGAAAGCTTGGAATGAGAATGCTTGGCAGACTGAGACGGAGGATTTTCAGTGTGAAAAAAGTAATGACTATGGTCAGAACGTGGATTTCTCCTAGGGGTCCTATTGGCCCTTGGAAAGGTACAATCTCCTTCATAGTTTTCTTTATGACTTCCTTTATAACTAGCTTGATTGCTTCCCTTGGAGGTTTCCTTGGAACTCATAGAAGTGTTACTCCTGCCTCTTTCCATGGTTGGGAAATCTCTTGGGATTCTTCCAAGAGAATTAGTCCTTCTAGCCAGCTGCTCCAGTTTGGTATTAAAAAGCCTACTGCTGTTATCGACAGGAGGCCTATGCCTGCTGCTCGAATTGTCATGTTTCCTTGTGGGGCTTGGGGTAAAAAGAGATTCATTTCCCTTTCTGAGGGCACACGCTGAATCTTGTTTGACCTCTGGGATGTATTTTTGTGGAGAGGAGGTGTGGAGGCAGTGGAGGTTCTCTTGCCGTCTGCCGTGCCTTCTCTCCAGAGTTTCCCCAGGGCTACATGGAGTAGATGATGTCACCCCCCTTGAGGGGTTCTCTTTGTGGCTGGGATTTTGCCAGGCTCTCGGCAGGCTACCTGTCACAAAGGAAACGGGTATGGTTTCATAGCAACCAGGTGCAACACCAGCTCTCATGTGGTTGCTTCCAACATGTCTGCAAGCAGTGTCTACCCCCTCTGAGACCTTCTGACTGTGTGTGGAATAAACATGCTTGCAATCTCGAGGGTGGCCTTTATCTGTACTTTCAAGTCTCTTTTCACACATTTTATTCTCCAAAGCTTTTTTGCAGATATCCTTATCTTCTGATACCGGTTGGTTAAAGGAAGTTAGACTACTTGTTCTATCAGGCTTCTTAAGATGATGAATCTCAGAAGCACAACTTTGAGTCTGCTTATCTACAGTATCGTCCTCTGCACTTCTGGTGTTTTTTCTTTTGAGTTCAGAAGCAGAGTTGACATCTTTAGAGGTTTCAGGAGTACTTTTCTCTTCTTTGGCATCATCTAAATCACAGTCCATATTCATCAACATAGGGTTAATAAATGAAGGTAAGAACCTAATTTCTCTTTTGAAATGATTTCGACCCTTTTCATTGCATTGTTCTGTGTTTGCAGACTGATCAGCAGGGGGCGCTGAAGCTGGACAGTCATCAGTGACGTCACCAATGATTCTGATAGGTTGGGAGCTAGCAGAGGTTTGACCATGATCTTGTGACTGTGCAGGCTCTCTGATACAAATAATGTTCCCACCTGTGCTCCCGCTGTTGTATGCTCCACTGATGGTCACCTCCTCTACCATAGAGAAGACCAGTTCATCTTGACCCATTTTGTCCAACGGCTGTTGAACTGTCACCGTGATGGTGGCCTTCATTTCCTTACTGTCCTTTGCGCTGTGATCCCCGATCACAACGCTTTTAGCCATAGTGTGTGAAGAGGAGCAAGAGGATGAAGGAGATATGGGAGAGCTTTTACCGATGGGTGAAGCGCGTTTATCTGGTTTGAACCAGTCTGCAGCTTCATGGTTCTCCGGTGGTGGGTGTTCAGATAAACTGGCAGTAGCCTTGCTATGGGAATTTGCTTCAAGACGTTTGGATAGGACATTGTTACCTGACTTAACTGCTCTCGTTTTAGGAAGCTCAGATGGGCATGTCATGCTAAGTCCCAGAGCTTGATTCATCAGCTCTTCACTGGAGCTGTTTGCACTACACTCCTCACAGTCAAACAAACCGGAATCTTCCCTCTGAAAACTGTCTGTCAGGACAGCACCATCTGTCTGCTTTTCCCCAAAAGATGCCTGAGTACAGCCTTTACCCACATTCAACAATGTATGTGGGGCTTTGGGTGCTTCCTTCTGGGGTTGTGTTTTGGCTAAAATATTCTGAAGAGTAGCACCTTTCAAGGAGGACTTGAGGACTTCCATTGTTACCTCACTTCCATCGATACAACCCAGACGTTCTTGAAGTTCAGCAAAGGTGTCACACTTAAGACAGTCTCTCTCCGGTGGTTTCCCTTCTGCTCTCAGTCCTTCAATGTTCCCCTGTACAGTTTCCTCTGTCTTTTTTTCTCTGTGCAACTGAGGAATTAGCAAAAGTTCCTGGAGAAGCGCTGTGAACTCTGGGTCATCCAAGTCGGACTTGTTAGGATGCAGAGAAGGTATGATCGGCACAAACTCGGGTTGTGCCAGCATTGGGGCTGTCTTGGAGTGGACCGAGCCATCAGAATTTATCTGGATGACGGTGTCACAGGACTGGTCACTGCTGGAGCGATACAGCTCACCACGTAGCCGGAAAGATGGGAAGTCCATGTCTACCTCTTCTGTGGAGTGGAATGCTCGCAGGGCCAAATAACGAGGACCTTTTTTATCTTTGGTCAAACTCCGCCCACAAGGAGAACATGATGTCGACTGCTGTAAGACATAGATCAAATATGTTGTTGGTTCAAACAGACTGTGCAGTATAGTAGACATAATAATAACACAATATGGCTAAGGGTGATCGAAAACTTAGTGATCAATAGTTTATGCATTTAGTAGCTTTGGTTGTTTCACCCAATACTACAAATTTCTAAATACATGGTGATGTAAAACTTGATTGTATACACATATAATGTTAATATAACCACCACAAATACTGACAATTTGAGACTTCTACTAGATCAATTAGCTGGCAGTAATTAGGTATTGTGTTGTACCTTTGTCTTCTTCTGTGTCCTGCGAATGCGAGAAGCCAGCTGAATGGTAGCAAAGGACTCTTGAAGATGTGCTAATGAGTCAGCAACTTGACCAATCACAGCAATGTGGCAATTTGAAGGCAGGGATTCCCGAAGGAGCATCGCCAACTTACTGGACCTGAGCAAATACATATTCATATATTCAGATAATAACTTCAGACATCCAGTTGTTCTGCAATTGTATAAATGTACCGGAAATTACCCACATCGCTGGTAGATTTGGATTTAAAGTTATTTTATTCAATTAAGAGCTTGTTTTTATGATTGTGAGTGACAGGTTTTTCCCAAAAAATAATATTGCCCTAAATATATGCTTCTGTTTACCTTGCATCCCCTTTGTTCTACATCCTTGGAATCTACAACTATTCAGTATTCATTAAACTATCTGCTTTGAGATGTTGTTACTAGCATAGCCAACACGTCTATAGCATTTCATTGTATTAGTGAAAAGAAACATGTTGGTGAAGTTAAAAAAAAATACTTAATGCTAAATTTCGGATACTAAAGGTAGCGAAGTGGTGTGAATCATTTTGGGATATGAATATATTCCAGGCATACATTTTGTGAAAGATTAGTTAGACAGTAACACAGTTGACTTTAGAGACATATATTTTGCAAATGTTTACACCAATATCAGTGTGCATATAAACTCTTACTTGCTGGGGATGGTTTTATTCCCGCTTAAGAGAGCCAGGACAATGGAGCCCAAGTCAGAATGAGGAAGCTTGTTTTTGCTCACGCCCCTCATCCCACTGCAGACATCAATCATGGTCAACTTAGTGGTTCCCCGTGAACCTGGGAATGGAAATCAAACAGAGAAAAAGAGGGTTGGTATTTTGTGTAAATGAAACCATTATAAATTACATAACTAAGTATTGGAAGTACTAAGTTTTAAACTAAACATGGAAAATAATATATTGGAAAATGCATAAAGCAGTTCATGCTGCATTCCAATTTTAACTCCAATGTCAGGAATTTTTGGGTTCCGAGTTGGAAATATAAGATAGGCATGGTAGCTCTACTGTAATTCACCAGAAAAAAAAAGCTGGAAGAAAGAAATTCCGTGAAAACCTTTTCCAATGGTGCTGCTCTCAGTACGAGGTGGCTGGACGTAAAGGGTGAAGAACATTATGGAGCTGTGACACAGGTATGTAATAAAGTCGGTGTGTCGCCGTGCTGCAATGGCTGCGTCCAGGAGAGAGGCGGCTCGCTCTGCTGTGGGGGCCTTCACACGGTTGTGGTTACGTAGCTAGAGAGACAGCAGAAAATAGCGTTAGCATTTAGCTTGTACATGTGTTGGACGCATGCTAGCATTGTAGCTATCATATCTATGTTACTATTGGCAGTGCTCAGGCGTGGTAAAGCTTTGATCTGGAAGCTGGCAGAAATGTTCACAACCAAATTAAGTTAAATGTTCAGATGACGCTAGCTGCTTATGCTAGCTGTTTCTTCATTATTTATTTTTTGTATCATTTATTTCTTTCCATACCAAGCTTGTTCAGTTTGGAAAGCAACCTACTGTTGATAAGTGAATTAACAATTAAAGTTCTATTTACTGGAAACCAATAACCTAATTATCAAATAAAGCCAATAAATTAGTGATGCAAACCTCAAAACCATAGATGCTAAAAAAATTGAAATCTAATCACAAAATCAGATATTGACGAAGCATCTATTTGGCATAAACTCAGGTTTGAACCCTGAACTTCTTGCTATTAGGCAGCCGTATTGGATGATGATAATGTAGCAATTAAGATTTAATATCCCATCCAGATTTTTATTACCATGACAAAATGAATCTCAAATTGTATTACATATTTATTTCATTACGTAGAGAAAGTAAAAAATATAAAATCAAACTAACAAATGTTTCTGTCTAAATTAATTTGTTTCGCATAAATACACTAAAATGACATTATTGGCTTGGTAATAAATCTTATTATGATGTAAACACTCCTACATGATACAGCTTCTCGTTTCAAGCAGTTACAGGAACTGTAAAATAGCTCTCCATTAGATTCTAATTCTTTAAATGGAGTCTTTGATGCATTGCCAACAAAGCTGAGCCAAAAAGAAGCCATTGCATTACCAGTTAGCTACACCCTCACAACTCTCTGGTGGCTGGATTTAACCTCGTTTACTAAGATTGATTGGATTGTAACAAGTCATTTGGATAAAAAAAACGTGTTTCTTAAAAGGACTGAATTTGATTTTGTTCAACCTGTAAAACGTATTTTCCCTCACAAATCGCAAAACGCCCTCATACCTGTATTCCGTTCACTGGGTCCTCGGTGACTCTAACGTGGGCCTTCGGGCTGCCCTGCACGCTGCTCGGCGAGGGAACCACCTCCCCCAGCAGGTCTCTGAGGGTGTCCTCTTCGCCGCAGCACAGCTCCACGGCCGACACAGAGACCGTCAGCTCGGTCCAGGTCTTCTCCTTGCGCCGCTCGATGGCGCTGTACAGCCAGGAGATGGCACAGGGAATCAGGCCGAGCTTCTGCAGGTTGTCACTGCTTCCCACCATGCTGGACCAAGACGCTGAGGAAAACAACACAGCAGGCGGATGAGTGTTAGCAAGCGTTGTGCCAAAACATGAAAATGTCACTTGACATCTCTTTTAATATCGGTAATCATTTTCTGCCCATAGGTTCTTTATGTTCTGATCTTTAGAGCTTTTTATATTTTTTCCATCCATCCCATGTCTAAACGGTTTCAGGGGAGATGGTATCTCCAGCTGTAATTGAGCAACCCTGGACAGGTTTACACCAGTCCGTCACAGGACACAACTATATACGCACAAACTTATACCCAAGGGCAATTTAGAAAGACCAGTTGACCATACAGTCATGCTTTTAGACTCAGAGGAAGCTTCAGCACCCAGAGAGAATAAAATGTCTTAAACTTTCATCTCACTGTGATTTTAATTGCTCAATGTTTGGAAGCATGGACGGCACGGACTGAATGGCTTTGTTCACTTACTTAGTCAAGTTCTACGGAGGTCTGCTAATGAGCTAATATTTGAGCTAGGTATGCAGAAGGACAATAAAAAAGCACACCTGCAAGTCCATCTCTAAATGGTTTAAAAAGTGATGGAGACTTGTATAGAGCAGCTCATCAAATAAAGAAGGCTGTTTGGTCTCAACAACTCCTGACCTGAGTAACTTTACTGCACATCTTTCTTCTCTTTCAGCTCTTTTCCTGTCTGAAACTGTGATTAAAGGACAGCAGCACCACAAACTGTTCAAAATTAAATGAAAATAGAAGGATTTTTGACTGGCCCTGTCAAAGTCTGATCATAAATCCGGCTAATTAACACTTGGTTGCTCCCAAAGGTGACACAACCAGTTATCATCCTTATGGAGCAATTGGTATGGATCCATTTGTTTTTCCTCAATAAAGAAATTATTTTAAAAGCTACATTTCACATTCACTCAGGTTATCTTCGTCAGATGTTACCATTTATTTGCTTATTAGAAACATTTGTGTGACAAAAAAAAATTGAAGAAATAAAACCAAGCTAGGCTCAAATATTTTTTATCAGTGGTGTGTATTTGCCAAAGTCCAGAACCTCCTACAAAACCCCAAACAGATTCCATGTTGCATCTCTTTTTGCACTTTTGCCCTACATTCATTGTGAGATATAGGTCTGGCTTTACCTTCTCTTGTCTTATCCAAAGTCTAATTGAATGAGGATAAGAGAATTGGTTTACTCCAATTAAAGGCCGAGCTGCCCGCCGTTATTCAGGGGGAATGGTATTCTGTTTAGGAGATTGATATCCCTCTGGCCGTGGGCCACATGCACTCCGTATCGGCCGACTAATTCAATCAGATTTACGGAGGGTGGCGTCATGTGAAAAAGCAGTTACAAGGAGACTCTGTCCTTACCGCACATGTGTGTGTATGTGTGTGTGTATCTTGGTGTCTGTGGTTAAAAAAAAAAAAAAAAATCTATTAAATCCCTGCAGCAGCGCTAAGTGCAGGGTCCCATCTTCCTAATAGAAACATATCACAGCCCACTTTGTTTTCAGTCAATCTTAGAAAAAGTGTCCTTTGGAGTATGGAAGGAGTAGAATTTGAAAAATATCAATGTATGGTTTGAATGAGAAAGAGTCAAACAGCTGAAATGGCATGACATAAATATGGCTCAGGAAAAAGAAAAATCCACAAAAAAAGCAGAGGAAATATGTCAAGACTAACGCAAGGACACAGAGAGGCAATGGAGACTTGGAGTTTAAGTCGAAAGGAAAGATTGAACAATGATAACAGTGGCAGGAGGAAGGGTACAGAGGGGCTTTTAACATTTATAACAGCGTCTCACTCCCAGCTTAAGATTTTAACCTGTGACCTCTCGCTGCTTCCGATGACTTACCCACATCAGCACATCCTAGGCCCAAAACGCATCCATCACTGCCGCTGAGGACACAACGGATGACGTCAGCCAAGATGCCTGTGCAAACTTCAGCCTGGGCAAACGGGACAAAGGACAGGGCGATTGATCTCAACACTGAAAATGTGAGCGCCGTCCAGCTGAAAATCAGAAGCAGGAGGGCAGTTTACACGGATTTTCCCTCGAGCTTTGACACGTGTAAGCCGAGCCGGAGAGTCCTACCGAGGGGAGTGGTGTCAGTTTTCTGGTCATTAGATAGACGGGGGGAACCACAGTGGGATGTACGGTAATATACAGAAGGATGAATTGTGCTCTGAATGCCTTTTGTATCTGACATAAAAGCACAAAATGGCAGTTACATTAAAATCCAAACAGAATCATTCAACCAGTCTCTAGCTGCATTTCCATTAACCGTATAATTGCCCAGTTTTACATTTCAAAGATATTTGCTTAATGGAAAAGTCAATTTTGAAAAATCTCTGGTTTTTCCATAAAAAGTTTTAATATTAGGATGAAGTGAATTTTTTTAGCTGTGTCAAGATTGGTTGATTTCACAAAACTGCGACAGAAACACTTTCTGCATCAACGAGTCACATGATCAACAACCAGATGTTGCCATGAAGAAGAAAACTACAGGACGTAGTTGGAGGATCATGGAGCAGAATGGTTTTCAACAACATAATGGGTGAACAAACTTCTTCGTGTGGGATTTTAATCGTGTTTCATATTTAATGGAAACACCACATTGCGAAATTGTGTTTTTTCAACATTGGCAGAATATTGACAAAGTTTTGCACATATTTGCAATTGAAACACAGCTTATAATTGTTAGTATGAAGAACCAAACCTGTCCTGAATCCTGAGAATAAGCTGCGTCAAAGCTGAAGGTCTTCAGTGGACTTCTCCTCTCCCTGCCTAGAGTCATTGTGCTGTAGGATAAGTGTTTGGTGACTGGATCCATGATGGTGACTCTCTTCCTGGACGGGTCGATCCGGAGAACAGGTGGCTGGCCGTGGCTCTCTGACAGCAATCGGCTCACCCTCAGCACGACTTTGACCTGAGAGTGGAAGGGAATGAGAAGGAGAGCCATGCTGATTATCTGCTGTACACACCGGGCTGCGGAGCGATAATTACCCTGTTAAATCTCAGATTACACACGGAAAATCAGCTGAATTGAGAAAGACAAGAATGTTGTGCCAGAGACAGGACAATTTACCCAAACTACAAAATCTGTCCAAGAGTGAGCTGTGAAACATCTGATCTGCCCTGCAGATTGTTAGAGTCTGATAGCTTTGTCTCACCACAGCCACATTTCAAAGGTCCTGATCCAATGGCAGAAGAACCACAAGTACAGTAAGTATCAGTATCCCTGTACTATGGTTATTGGAAGGTTAAGTGGATCTTTAAAATACTAGACTGGTGGGTTTTTCCAAAAATATCTTAAATGTTTGAACATTTGGTGTGTCTGTAAGGTCTTCCATAAGGACGTGTTCTGGTTGCAGGTATCCATCATGCATTGTACTTTAAGAAAAAAGTAGTTATTGGATTTTTTTTGTAGAAGTGAACAAACAAGCAAACCTGCATACGGACAATAGAATGACACAGTGGACCCCCTGTATTTGCAGTGGTTAGGGACAATTAAAGACATCTATAACTACCTATTTTAATAGTTCAAACACCAACTATTCTGTAATAATGTGTGGCACTACCATAGAAGCTAGCGACCATTGATTTCCTTATACATGCTCTTGGAGGTACAGCCAGTCACCGGCAAGTAAAATGAATGGTGGTCCTGGACTGGCTGTTTTGCAAACGTCAAGTAACATTGCACATAAGTATTTCAGCTTTCTAAGCAGTGCTGTCTTCCAAAGAAATCCATAAATGGGCAAATTTTTCATGAATAATTTGGAATTAGAAACCACAGAGAAATCCACAAACAAGTGAATCTGGGAATACTGAACTGTGAATAGGTGGGCATCCACTGTACTTACTTTTTCTGCCCACACTGCATTATTCTATTTGTGTATTTTTTGTGCTGAATCAAAGTCAGGTTACTTTTGTATCTGAATTTGAATGGAGTCAATGATTTATTCTGAGAAGCATTTGGGTTCAAATATAGATATCCATTAGACGGTACAACCACCATGAATCAGCAATAAACTAACTTTCAATGTGCAAATTTCCTCTACTGCTTACAGTAATACCCTGCTATTCACCACTAAGACTGAAACAGAAATCACAGAGTTGCTACATGCTACACATGTGTTATTATTATGCTGTACTCTGACTTAATTTGCCATTTGCTGCTTCAAACTTCACCTGGGAATCCACTTTATCTGCAAAGCTAAATTATCCTAGCATATCAGTCAACTACTTTTGCAGCTAGCTAATGCTGATTGATGAGTGATGTTTGGGTACAGGCTGAACCAATTTGGCAGTACGTGTTTTTTCCTCAGAGAAGAATGTAGATTGGGAAAATAATGTACAAGAAAAAATATAACTTATTTGTCCACAAACTGTTCAGCTTTCAAGTAGCAGCAACTGATTATGGAATTGTCTAAGAGGAAGTTGCTAAAAGTAACTTGGGAAAGTATATTCATGCAGCAAAGGGATGAGTTTTACAGCAACAATCTACAAAGTATTGTGTTTAATTGAGCTAACTGTTAGCCCCCTACTAGCTTAATGTTTGGAGCTCTTTGAAAACAGCATGCTGTTATTTATGCTTTACTATAACTTTTAAAAAGTGGCAAAATATTTTGTACAAATATCTGAAAGGTGTGGCATGAAGATTTATCAGGGACAGGGAGACTGGTTGGAATGCTTGTTGTATGCTTTGTTAAAAGAGAGTTTAATTTAATACTTGGAGGCTTCTGAATATTAATTTCATGAAGATAAGTTGATGGAGAAATATTGCAGGTTCCATGTAGTTGAAATTGCATCCACTCAGCTAAAAAAAACTTAGCTTAAGGCATGCAGGAATGTGAGCAGAGGTAACCAGAGTCAATTATCCAGGCCAGTAGATGACTCTGATGTTTATCTTGTCCATTAGGATCTTTCCCTGCCCCACTTTCTCTTTCCTTTCCTCTTCCATTACTACGCTCTCATTCCAACGCAAAATTAAGCCGATCATTTTCTGTTCGTGATTTAGCTCTGCGAGATGGAAAGTAGACATGCGCATCTCGACGCCCAGATGAATATAGTTATCTTGATGTTGCACAGAACCGCATTACACCGCTATGAGATCACCCCTTAGTGGCTGAATCTGAAAACCCGACAGCCGCGTTTCCTGCAGCATGATGAGTGCTCAGGATTTCTTCCAGCTTCTCTCCTCGCACGTTTCAAGCCTTAAGCAAGAGCGGAGTCCCTAACCGTTTTAAACGTGCGTTAAACTCTATTCATAACAGATGAATAATTGAGGAGAACATTTTACAAGCGAAGAAGGAGCGAGTGGCTTCTCAAAGCTGAGCGGCGGGGCCGAGGTGGGGTCTGTCCTCATCTGTAACTCTACACTAAACCCGAGAGTCCATCTCCGAGATAAAGGGAGGGCAAGCAGCCATATTGATCTCCTCGGTTTCTCTCCCAGAGGAGGTGAGGAGAAAGGCGGCCAGGAACAGGATGGAGACATTAGCACCACATTACAATGAATCAGGAAGGAGGTGTGATATAGGATCTCTGCTAAATTGACTGAGATCTCTTTAAGCTGCAACACAGGTGGTGGGAAGACACTTCCAAGGTGTAGTTTGTGGGAAAGGAAGGGGATTCAAGCAACAGCAGCAACACAGAATGACTGCATTTATTGGCAGAATGTAGAGTATGGTGCAAATTTACTCTGTGTTGGTTTTATTAAAGGGGCAGTTTTATGTGTTTTTCAGCCATGAAGTATCATTTATAGCACAAAAAAGGGAATGTGTTAACTTCAGTCGTTACAAAAATGCAGTACATATCAAATATGACTTAAAAGAAATTTGACTTCATAATTTAACACTTTGAGAAACTCCTGCTCTTTTTGAAATTCTGCCTTCAGGAAGTCATCACAACATAGCTCCTCTATTAACCCTTTAACGTTTTTACCAGCGTTTCACTGGGAAGTAGCTCCTACAACGAGCTCAACAAATGAGCAGTTCCACTATGTTTGTAAAACAATGAAAATGTCAACTCTTGGTAAAAGAAAATGCTTGAGTTTACAAAACTAAGAACTTTAAATGGTGATCAGGGAATGTTTTTGAGCTAAGCTAATGAGTAATTTCAGTGAAAATAGAATCAAAATAAAGAAGTATGGCTTAATAGGAAATGTAATTTCTGAAAAACTTGTAATTTTAAGTTTAACATAAAAGTTTGGGGTAATTGATTGCCTCAAAATCTTTGAGTTCTGGTAACTTATCCAGGTATCCCAGTTTATTTTAGTTTGTTCTTCAGTTGTGGGAGCAAGTAAAATTAGAAAAAATCACAACTTCTGGTATTTTAAACAAACTACACTATAAAACCATAAAGCAGAACTCATATGCATCAGAATTTGAACCTTGTCAACGTCGGGCGAGTCTTTGCTTCGAGCGGCAGCTTGGAGCAGGCAGGGGGGAGCCGGCGGTGGGTTTTTCTGGATGATCTCTCTGAAGCAGGTGGAATGGTTGGAGGGAGCTGGATCCGAAGCCTGGCCCTTTTTCCTCAACGTCAAGTTGAGCTTCTCGGCCGCCCTGCCGGGAAGGAGGGAGGCGTTGTCAGGGGAGACGGTGGGGGATGTACCGAGTGACTAATACAACACTGCATAAACACTGGAAAATGTCAGTTCCAGGACATTTTGAAGTCCTGGAACTGAAATGTATATACAAAAAAAAACGAACTATAAAAATGTCCTTCCCATAATAGAGACTGATATGGTGAAAAAAAGCACAGCCTCTGGTCTTTACGAGGTACTTAAACTGAACTTCAAGTGTACAACAACAAATAGATCCTTGTTCATTCAGTATTTATTAAGTGCAACTGAAAAGTTGTGATAGAAAAAGTAAAGACACCCCATGGTTCAATAGATCTTTAAGCCCCCTTTAGCAGCAATGACTTTACATAGTTGGTTTCTGTCTGATTTTGTCAGACTCTCGGTTCATTGCAGATGGATTTTGCCTTCATTGCCCAGTCTGGGTCAAGTTTTCACATTTGATTGTAGAGGTTAATATTCCATAAGTTTTGAGGTTCACTTAAACATAATCTTGCAAATCTAAAGTCATGCAGCCATGTCCTTTTTTTTAGGGATGAGACTTTATTCAGCCAGCCATTTTATGCATCACATACTTATTCAGTCTGTTTGTCCTTCCTTTAACTTCAACACTTCTATGATAACTGAAAACTGGGGCATCTGAAATGGAGCTACTGGGTGTTTGTAATTTCTCTGAGAACTGGAAAAAAGCATGAAAATAGCCAATATTCCAGAGGAATGTTTCCATGGGAATTCAGCATTCACAGGATTAGGAAACACAGTGACCTGAGAATATCTAAAATCCACAAAAACTTCAGATCAACACCCCCACAAATGCTAAAAACCTTAATATGGATCAATACGCACACTGTCTTGGCACTACTACAGAAACTAACATCCAACAGCCAATCAGCTCCGAGGAAAATTAAAGCCACTCGTGGATTGGCTGCTTTACAATCGCCAGCCAGTAGCGAGTCAAGTTGCATTGCTGCTAGGTATTTCAGCTTCCCATGCTGTGTTTTCTGAAATTTCATAACATCTACTATTATTTTATAATAACCTACCTGGCCAGAAGGGACATAGCGGCAGTGTTGGCGATGGTCACCACTCTGGAGATGTGAGGGATCTTGGAGGTCGTCTGAACAGTCCCAGAGACGCCACAGGTCAGCGTGGCATCGTCTGCCTTCTGCTTTCAGGAGAGAGCTCATCACTCATTATATAAATATCCAAAGTTACTCTCCCAAATCTAATACAAAGGAGGCTAGTTGTATCAAGGGAATCACGTAGGTGCTTCTGTGTAAGTAGGCCATCTGAGGCTGAGAGCACATGCTGTAAACAAACACCATATTTGACCAATTATGGATAGAGGCAGCTGTATTTGGAATAGGAGGAATATGTTGTGCAGCATCTGTGTTGTGAAGTCGGAGTAAGAAAAGTGACTCAGAGATGAAGAGGATTACGATTGTCTCTGATGCGCAACGGTCCACAAGAAACAAGACATTATGTAAAGGGATTCAGACAATTCAGCTGGAGCTCCAGTGCAAGACCCAGGCACTTATTTTTAACTGCAGTGTGATCATCTAAGAGAACCCAGTCTGCTCAACTTCAGATGAACCAGGAACCACCAACACTTAGTTATAAAGAAAACAATAACTATGAATATTTAGGTTAATATTAATGTCAGATTAACGTTCATCCAAATTCCAAGTTCTATTATAACCGTTTTTTCTTAGTTATCCAAACATTTGTTTAACAATTGAACATCAAATTCCCATATTTAACAGTCATCCGAAAATTATTCTGAAATTTCTCAGTTAAGCAATAAAAATACAGCAGAAAGTGCTTTTTTGATAATACTTGAAATTTAATGTTTATGTGTAATTATACCTAAAAATCTACCTGTTAGTTGTTTAAAAATAAATTAGTTTTATAAGTAAAACAAATTTAGCTCAAATGTGTTCTATAAAAGTAACTATGGGACCCATGCAGTGGACCCCTGTGTAGGTCATGGACCACATAGCATCTAAACTCAGCGAATTCTCGAGTCTCCCTCTAAAACTGCTTAAAACTGCCTAGTCACACACCAAAATATACCTAATATGCATTAACACACACAATGGAAACTGTCTTAGCACTGCTGCAGAAGCTAACGTCTTCTGCCAATCAACATTAAGGAAAATGAAGGAAAATGCCGGCCTTCAATTGGCTACATTGCAACAGCTAGCCAATCAGGTAGCATTGTGTTCTTCTCTTCGATTTTTTTCAATTTGGCTTCACAAAGCTTTTAAATTGCTCCAGGAAAACTTTAAAAACAGGAGCAGTTGTATCATTCATTTTAAAAGGAATACCTGGTTTGACACAGTCAGATAGTTCAGTAAACTCGCATCTTGCTCCTATTGACAATCCTTGCATAGGTTTGTGAAGAAACAGGCTAACCCTATTTGCCGATGCAACCTTATATCCCTTATTGTTTTTTATATGACTTGTTGATAATCCAGTTTCTAACAATGGAAACCAGGCTACTTTTACAGTAAAGTGATTCTCTCGTTTTATTAATTTTGCATTTTGATTTGGCTGATGTTTTCGCTGTGCACTCAGCTGCAGCATCAAGAACAGTCTAGCAAGACCCATATGTTGTTGGACTAGTCTGGCCAACTAACTTAAATAAATTTCAGTTACATTGTTTTCGAAACAGTTCGGAGCAGAAGCTGAAATTTAAATACAAATTTGATTCAATGCATAGCCCTCATGGGGCTCTGCCTGTCTGGGTAGTTGCTCTCAAAGCTCACATTTTCTTCTGTCTCTCAAGCTGTTTTAGAGGCAGGGAAACCACATGAGCTCAGCTTTCCGTGAGTAACAGCCAACCATTACATGCCAATTAGTGCCAGTAGAGATGTGCTATAGTGGTTTTGAATGACGCGGGGCTGATGGAGACCCAAGGTAAAATGGATCAATTATAAATACCTCCCTGGCCCTCCCCTTTTGGACTTCATGACTCATGGTCTCGGTCATAAGCTTTTGCATCTTTACTTCCTCTCATCTTGTGAGCTGCTCATACGTCCTCGTATTGTCTGTTTTTCCCTCTCCAGTCTTTCTCTCCCTTGCTGTGCATTGACCTCCACATTTGCTTGTTTTGCAGGATTTTAATCTCAGAGGAATCAAACCCCTGCTGATCTGCTCCCAGCTCCCGCTAATGTGTTGGACCACTTTTCTCAGAAATTAAACTGTTTTGCGAATTTTTTTTCTTCCCCCCTTTTCACACTTGGCTGTCAAGGTCCGCCTTGGTTGATCCAAAGAGCAGGCAACAGCTAAGTGAATTGGTGCACACCCCTAGAAAGGTGCAAACTTTGATCAGATTGTACATCCTTTTTCTACTTGCATGTAAACATTGATTTGCACTGACAGGTTCCAGTGCACTCACAGGCCCATGTGCAGGAAATTAACTCCTTGTTCAGAGTATGACATTTGGCAGTGTTTCGGTGTTCCCCTGGACACATTTGGGCACATACTGCTAAAGGAATGTGGCCATATGCCACCTCTGATGTGGTCTGCATTAACAAATCCCACTGTGTCCCTAATGTGTTCCTAATCTTACACTCATGGATAATTAGGACATTTTTTCTGACTAAATACTTTTCCTAAGTAGCCTAAGCTTGTCTCACTTGTGCATCAAGTTAGCCGTCATGAAAGAAGAGTCCCAAATTGGTAGCAGTTTGGTGCAAGAGCAAGACTAAAGACTGCTCTGTAAATGATTGAATTTGTGGGGTGTTTGCACTGGTAAGAGAGGAGATAGCAAGTGGCATCAAACGTTGAGCCAATACTCTTACTGGTTTGTTGCTAGAGCATCCCACAATCAATCAAAGCAGTGAGTGAAGTTCACCAGACAAAGAGTATTCCTCGTAGATACATTAGACAGCATTACCGGAACTAGATGGACTTTAGTTGTGGTTTGCACGAGGCCTGGTGGCTGTATAGAGCAAATGTCTGATGTACAGATACATGAGGACTCACACACACATCCGGAAGGGTTCAGTTGCCCAAGACATACCCCACCAAGGAAGAATCGTCTTATGTGTGGCAAGGATTACAACACATGGCGTGTCAATAATGGGATTCACCCTCATTAAGAGTTCAAGGTCTAACACGAAGACTCTCTTTAATTTGTGTTTGAAGCTACACCATAAACCAGAGCTATGGACTGGTGGTAAGAGGTACTGAGTCATTTTTAGCAATAAATATGGATTGTGCATCCCCGTAGTTTACCATCATGTGGTCACGTTAGTGTCAAGGGGAGGCAACCAATATTACCAAAGATCTTGAGAGTTACAAAGGTCATTCTTCTGGTAGCTAGTCTAAGGAGCCATGATGTAACTTGTGGTCACCCCTGGTAGTGATTCAGATGGCACACAAACACAGCATCTACTACCCTGGTACAGTGTTTTAACAGGTCAATGCCCAACCGCACACAGAACATGGATCTACAGACTGTCTGGATAAAAGCTACCCTGATCAGGCAGGTTCATCGCATTTGGCTTTTCATTAAGCAAACTCCCGTTAACATTATGCAACATACAGTTGTTCTCAAAGTTGTGCAGTTCTAAAGACTAAATGTTTGAAAGGATCATGTTGTCCTTTCTTTAATTAAATCACAAAAGCCTGCTATGCTGACAGGGGCATCCATATTTTGGAGAGCCACTGTAGTTTTCATAATGTCATAAACTTATGAATGTAGCTACTGCAGGAGACAGATGCACTTCAATAATTTCTCAGTAAAATAATAATAATAAAGTAGAAATAATTATAGCATCAATAGAATTAAGGCGAGTAAAACTCTCCTGCCACTCACCTTGTCCCTTTAACTATAACAGCCAATCACTTGGCGTGGGGGTCAGGGAGCTTCCATCACATTAATGCATATTTCAAAAGCTGCAATTTTAAATATGGCTCTCCCTCTATATTGATCACAAGTGCTTTTTGACTGGCCAGCTTTTATGACGGGTAAATCATGACCCTATTCCATTCCATTAGTAGAAGGACTTTTAAAGAACGCGCTCGGCCACGGGATCGAAATAGGCTCTGATTGGGCACTATGAATCTCTTGGCCTGCCGACATGTGCGCTCGTAAAGGCATGCATTATCCATATAGCTCATTAAAGCAGGGGGAACAGGGGGAGGTGGAGAGGGGAGGACACTAGGAAATGTGTTATATAGGGTGTAGAGCTTAGAGAAGGCTTTTAAGGGTACCTGATGGTGAGAATTGATGGTGACACCATCTGGATTGGACGCCGATTTAGAGGCCACCAGCTGCTGCTGCTCCTCCACCCAGCGGTCCATGTCGGGGTTGGGGAGCTTGGGTCCTCTCCGTCGGAGTGTTTGGGGAGTCCTCTGGGGCGTCCTGGGGCTTCGGGGGCTGTGCGGGCTGTATGGCGAATGCACCACCTCCCTGGAGGACTTGTCTCCATGCTTTGTCCCGCTTTGTCCCAGTGCCGTGCCAGCGCCAAGGCCGGCCCCAAAGGGAGGCTTGGCTAACGACTGACCACGACTCAGAGCCAGGAGGATGGCCTCCTGTTTGAGTTGGTTCAGGTTGGCGCCGCAGGACCCACACTGGCCCTGCTCCCCTTCTCTGAACTCCATGTTGGAATGGCCGTGGACACGAAGGTTGTCGTGTAGAAAGGCTGACAGATCGCTTGTTTCCTGCAGAGTTTTTTAGAATTACAAGCTGAAGAAGAAGCTGTAAGATACTTAATTTTCCTGCAGCAAAATATGCAATGGCTATAGGCCTATTGTGATAACCAATACATCAATTAATGACATAATTAATTCAAATTAATTATTATTGTTTACTCTCTCTTTCTACCAAAAACTAGATGACTAAAGTCTTCAGTTTAGTGCTTTGGTCTCAAATGGCTACTTTTTTTGAAGGACAGTTTTGTTTACAGAGACTTCATAATTGATTTTATTTGTTGTTTGTTTTATTTATTCTGGATATTTAAAATGTCTTCAAGTTTCAGTGTTAAACGTTCATTAGAATTTGAAGTTATTGATCTCTGAGAATCTGTTCTTGCATTGTTATGCCATTTCCTTCATATAACTTAAAAATGCCTTCCAAACAACAATTCTATCGTTTATTGCAATAACTTCTTAGACAATTTATTGTCCAGCAAAATGTATCATGACATGCCTAAATGGCTACAAAACTAAATACAACAATCATCCAGAAAGATTCTTTTTTTTCAATATATTATAGAAATGTCACATCCATTTTTATGCGCATGCTACTTTTGACGTGGAAAAATGCAGAAGTCGGATTCGTTCAAACTCTACATGTTTATGTTTGTGATGATAGGTCAGACGACTTTTATTTCCTAACGTCACTCCCAAACTGGTTAGCAGGTAGATAGCATCTGCGGTTGCTATGGAAACTTTTAGGTCCCCAGATGACACCATTTCCTGCTGTTCTCTAACTGCAAGCTTTGGAGATTTTATACCAGAAAACTGTTTTGTCATGTCCAGAGTGACATATTTACCGATTTGAACTCTGATCAACTAAGAAAAAGGAATGCTTAAATAAGAATTTGCTTTTTCAGTTTTTGGTTTTTTTTGTTGTTGTTTTTTTAGGTACAATAACCAATAATTGTCCCACTTGGGATTTTGCTAAAAACAATTATTGCTTAATGTGGATTTTTGTTTTTTGTCCCTGCACTGCATAAATTTCCTCAAGTCCTTAGATTAGATTTCCTATGATTATTGTGAGAATATTCTAAGTAAATTAGGGATTTAGTCCATGGTTTTTTACACATATTCAGTCTTTAGGTGCAAATTTAGTCTTTTAATAGTTCTCTAACATAAAAAATGAGCAAAAATAAAAAGAAATTCCATGTTATGTCTTTGCCTTCTCACATAGAGCATAATGGTGGATAATCATTTTTACAGAATGTATAATAAAAACAAAACAAACACAACAGTCTA